ACTTGGGATTCTCGCCTATCCTCCTGCTCCTCTGTATCATCTTCGTCCTCGTCACCTCCGGTTCCTAATTCTCCGGACCGCCCAGCTCTTCCTGATGATGACGACTCCACTAGCACGATCAACCAGGAAATATGGAAAGGCCAGTGATGAGTCATGAACACCCAGTTCACGAGTTGGCGGACTGAGAACTCGGCGAAGTTCAACCGTAGCAGTCGGCCTGAAATAAGGCAAACAAAAATAATTTTGGTAGGACTGTATTTAGAAGTCCTACTTACTTTTGTTATATAATAATAGCCTACTTTTACACTTTTCAGTAGCCCGACTTTCCGCCTTTTCATTAAATACAGCTTATTCAAGGTAAAATTTCCATCAATATACATAAGTTTCCTGAGCAAAAGGAGTTTATATTGATGGAGTTGCGACTATATTCGGCTTTAATTTAACATTCTTTGGCCACTTTCGACACAATTACATATTCATTTACACTCGTTTATCGAGCCGGTCAACATTTTAGTTAGCGGAACATCTACTAGTGTTAGTTGTGGAAGGTATCAACTTAAAACATTGGTCCTGGAAACTGCCTCGTCAAACATGTCTAAATCCTGACTGAAGTAGGTTTTTGAAATAGTAAAGTGAATCTGGTGTGTAATTGGTTTAACGTCTGAGTTTAGCTTTCCGAGCAGAGAATAGCAAAGCGTTCCCCCATAGAAGATGACACAGGTTACCGTAGAGGACCACGTTGATCCTTAAACGCCCTACATTAACATATTTGCGGAGGTTTCATGTTGATCCTTGACTAAATTATTTGACCTCAGTCCCTGAACTTGTACTATGTTTGTGAGCTCAGTCACACAGCTCTATTTATGGATTAAGAGGAAGTCGAATACTACCACAAATTTTGCCTTTGAAATCAAGAGTACCCTTCGAAATAGTAGACATAAACGGCCAGTAGGGTCTTATAACCCAGTCTCCCGCATTTCGAGATGTACAATGGCTGCAATAGAAATACATGAATGCGCCCCACTGCTGAAAATCCCATGTACTTGGAGATGGTTCTCCTCTCTAGTGGGTATGTCAAGATGTATGCTGAGCTGAAAAGATTCCTCGATCTATCCCTGGATCCTCAGTGAGATTCTCTCGAAACAGGATGTCACTTTGGCATACCGGTGGTCGGCTAAAACTTTTTTTTGAAAATCAACTGTCAAACTCGGGTAAAATTAGAGTTAAAATTCAGCAGCAACCTTTGGCCTTGGGTATTAGAGTTCTGCTAAGCTATCTGTACATTTGAA